TCATTATTAACAACAAGAAATATATATATTTGAAATCTTTAATAGGAACACATAAAAAAATAAATATTTTATAAAAAAAAATTAAGATGTTTTATAAGAAAAGAGTACTATTTTGTTTTTATTAATACAAATTATAATAAAACTAGTAGAAAAAAAGTATTTTGTTGCCTGCATTGTATTTATATAAAAAAAAAAAAGTTACTCATAAAAAATAATTATTAAAAAATAAATAAAAATAAAATAGTGCATATAAAATAAAATAAAAATAAAAATTAAATAATAAAAGTATATTAATCTAATTGGTATTATGATTAATTTATTAGTTTTAAGTTCTTAAATTTGATAATAATAAAAGTATATTAATTTAATTAGTATTATGATTAATTTATTAATTTTAAGTTCTTAAATTTGATAAAAAAATATTTTTTTTAATTTTTTTAAAATAAAAAATATAATAGTCTAAAAATTATAAAAACTAAGGTAATTATTAAAAAAATATTTTTTTATATATTAGTATAGGTAAGAGATTTGAATTTAAGATATGTGGGTATAATCTGAGGCAATAAGATGATTATTTGCTTATACACAGTGTGGGAATGTTAAGTAAAGTGAGTGTATGAAATGGTTTAATTGATGGTATTTGAAAGTAATAAGTGAGGGGTGAGTCGGTGGGGGGATGACGATGGCATTAAATATATGTCATGTTTTCTTGCTAAAATTGACCAGTTAATGAGAATTAAATGTTTATCTTTTCTTGCTGTTTAAAAATGTTGTTGGCGAAGACAAAATTGACAGTTTGAGTATAGCAGTAAGAAAACATTGATATTTTATCTTCCTTGTGCTCTTCTCTTTTCGTGTCCAAATACAAGTCCTTTTTCCTTGAGGGGACTCTATCTTCATCTCATCTAATCCAGTACTTTCACTCTCTACTCTACACTACCTTTCGCTCTTCTACTGTGCCTTTCTTTACTCTTGTTCTTGTTGCAGAAGCCGCTGCTTGTGCTTGTGCTTGCGCTTGCATTGAAACGCAGGGTAGGTGGGAAAACGTGTCGCCTTTCGTTGCTTTCTCTTTTTCCCGCCGCATGTGGCGGATTAACAGCTCGCTGCTTCCATAATTCACCTCTTCAAAACCAACACTGTCTCCTCTAAGATTTCCTCTGGTAACTCTAAATCTCATATCTTTTTCTTGCATGTGACCCTTTTTTATTTCTCTCTCTCTCCCTTTCTTTCCCACCTACCCTTTTGTTTATTAACTCAGCAAACTCAGAATCCACACCCCACTTTCCCAACAAAAGGATAAACAATTTAAAATTTCAATCTCTCAATTCTTTATTTACTCAGATTTGATATATTGAAATAAAAATTAAAAAAAAGTTTTTTTTTTTTTATCTCCCTTTCTTTTCTCGTCTGAAGGGGTGTCTGATTCTCTGTGGATGACTTGGATTGTGTGTGATTGTTAGCACTCTCTCAACCTCGCGTTGGCTTTGTTTTGGAAAAGCGAAAATGTACTTGAGATTTCTGTTCTGTTAGGGAAATTTTATCGTATTTTTTATTTTTATTTTTTTGTCGGGAAGAATTGTTCTGGCATTTCTTTTTGTTGGGAATCTGTGAGATGAACATGAACATGTAGAGATGAGATTTTCTCAATTTTCTTCAATTTGGCGTGTTTGATTTTGCGCTATCAAAATTCCCTTTGTCTTCCGGTTTTCGATCTCCCTACCCCTTTCCGAAAGATGCTTCCTTTTACCGGTTATTCAGAGAATATATGGATTTTAACTATTCATTCACATGCTTGTGGCAGATATTTTGGTGTATGTGTTTGTCACCGTGTCTGGCCGTTCAAATTCAATATGCTTTTCTATTTATGTATTTATTTTTTGTCTGTGAAGAGGTCCCTTTTTTATGCTAATGCTTTTAATTAGTATGTGTCTTTGTATTTTGGTACTTGAACCTCAACAAGTGACCTTAAGAGTTAAAGTTTTTGTTGCTTTATAGATTGGATGGAAGACGCTTGTGAATTTCGAAATTGGGCTGAATTGATTCCTGATGCCCTAGGGGTGATCTTCACCCATCTTTCTCTTCAGGAGAGGGTATCAGTGATCCCTAGGGTATGCAAATCATGGTCTAATGCAGTAACTGGACCTTACTGCTGGCAAGAGATAGACATTAACGATTGGAGCAACCGAGGCCAGCCTGACCAACTCGATCAGCTGCTCGAGAAGCTTATCACGAGAAGTTCTGGATCCCTCCGTAAACTCAGTGTTTCTGGTCTTCAAACCGAGAGGATCTTCACTTTCATTGCTGAAAAGTAAGCAGAACTCCACAGTTTTAATTAATTACATGCAGTTTAGGCTTTAGTGGATGAAATATCGTGGATTGTGGAGTAGTAGTAGTTTTCTCATTATTCTGCTAATTGCTAAAAATTCTAGCATTTGGATATAAATTTGCTATATTAAAATTGGAATTTTACCTCATTAATATGCATATACATTTAATGCAAATCTTAGTAATATATATTTACACATTATTTAGATTGGAGAACAACATCCATTATATAACTAGTCTTAATTTGGTTAAGCTGATATCCTCATTGTATATCACTTGGGCTGGAAGAAAATTAAATTAATGAAGGTGGGAACCCTGTTAGCTATTTTTCTTATACAATGTACTTTTACTCTTTTGCAAGTGCCTGTTCCCTCCAAACATTGCGACTGCCAAGGAGTAGTATGAATGATTCCATTGTGGAACAGATTTCTGGGAAGCTTTCTACAATTTCTTTCTTGGATGTGAGCTACTGTATTAAAATAGGTCCCTATGCTCTTGAGATGATTGGCAAGAACTGCAAGATGCTAGAAGGGTTGTGTAGGAACATGCATCCATTGGATACTGCGGGAAAGCCTTTTCAAGATGATGAAGCATATGCAATTTCCAAAACAATGCCTAAACTCAAGCATCTTGAAATTGCTTATCACCTTATGAGTACTTCTGGTGTCCTTCAAATACTTGCAAACTGTCCTAACCTTGAGTTTTTGGATCAAAGGGGGTGTTGGGGTGTTGGACTTGACAACATGTTTGTAAAACAGAAGTTTCCAAAGCTGAAGGTTTTGGGGCCTTTTGTTCTTGACACTTATGAGAGTGATGGCTGGGATGATTTCTCAGATGTGTCAGATTCTTCTGATGAGTATTTGCCTTGGGACTTTGTGGCTGGTAACATGGGTGAATACTATGTTGATGACAGTGACAGTTATGATGGAATGTGGGATGATGAAGCCAGGCTAGATGAGCTTCAGTTCGGGTTCTATGAGGGGATAGAAGATGCAGGAATGTATTGGCCTCCATCTCCATAAAGCTATTACCCTATGAACAATTTATGCTTTTCTACCTTGTAACTAATGCTTCAGCTTTACTTTTATGTTTTCTATGAATCATGTGTTTTTTACTTTTAGTAAGTTTGGCTTGCTCTGCCTAAGCATAACTGAGTGAGATTGTTATTGACCTGTCTTAGATTTCTTTTTCAAGTAGGCAAAGGAAGGGAAGAGAAAGCTTCCTGGTTTCTCATTTTAGAGCTCTACATGTAATTGGAACATCTGGCTTATAACAATATTGTACCTTCTTGAAAACATCTGTTTTATGAGGCTGTCCAATTGGATTTCGAATATTTATTGTTGTAATAAATTAACTGTTGAAAATGAAAGCAAGCAAGAAGCATTGTGTTGACGTGAATTTTTAAAGTGTTGTCGGGTGAAGCCTCGGTTTACTTTAATAAGATCCTCGAGAGATTCTTACTTCTTAGGCTCTCTATGCGAAATTTGACTCATTTCATATAAAAAAAAAATAATATGTAACACTTTATGTGGCTCTTATTTTTTAAACTCGTAATTAAGGTGAAAGTATTTTTGATAAGCTAAAGTAGAGGACTTTTTTGATTTGAGAGAAGTTGAAAATTTCTGAGATCCCATGCTAGTACGGGTACCTTAATTACTATTTATTTCCCAACATTCTTCAAAGAGACCCGTGAATAAATTTTTTGTGATCCGTGATTTTGGTGTTTCCACTTCATGGAACTAATAAAGCTTGGAAAAGCAGCACTCATTTCCGTGGACTTTCATCGTAGCCTCTGCATGAGTCAACACCTGTGTGGTCATCAAATTCGTGTATTCACGTGCTCATTAAATCGGATTCATTAATTCAAGGTCAGCCAACAAATCAAGTTCTTGCTGTAGAAGCCTTTTTCTTTAGATGAGAAAAACCACGTCCTCATCGGATTCATTAACATGTGCTTGGTTCTCAGCTTCATCATTAAATTCATGTTAAATGAGTGAAAAATACAGAAACTATTATTCCATCTACATTAACTTTAAGAAAATAAACATTTGGGCGGAATCAGTATTATTATTTTTTTTCCCAAAAACAATGTGTCCAATAACCAAATATGCACTCTAAAACTGTAAATGCATGATTTTTTTTTCACGGTGCTTTTTTTTTTTTTTTTTTTTTTTTTTTTTTTTTTTTTGTGTGTGTGCAGCGTGATGCTTATCGTAAGTTAGAAAGATTAACATATACATCAATTAGGCGTCATAACATTGTTTTTATCAGATTTAATTAATATTTTTAAAAATATACTAAAATAGTAACTGTTCTAGCCAAGGGGGAGTCTAGAGTTCTTCTCCTAGGTCCAACCTCCAAGTCAGAGCATTCAAGAGTGTAAAGTGTAAGTTGTCCTATTAGATCTAGGGTTTGGTGTTTTATACCTACTCCTTGTGGACCTCATAATCCTGTCAGTTTCGTAATTCTTCTTGGCCATTTTTATATTCCAAATATTTTTGGTTAAAAATCTCTTTTGGTCCCTTATAATATTTTTTTGTTTCAATTTAGTCTCACTTTAATTTTTTGTTTCAATTTGGTCCCCAATAATTAAAATCATTGCAATTTGGGACTTCCGTCCAAATGATTTAAACGGAGTTAACTGTTAGCCACGTGGATGCTACGTAGATGTGTATGTGGACGCCAAATTGCATGAATACCCCTGGAACCAGAACGGCCCGTTCTGGATGCACTCTTGGTGTGTTAATTTTGCAACTGGAATGAGCCGTTCCAGAAAGCCAACTCCATGCATCCGTTGACCAAAATGTCGCAACGTGATTCAAAAATTGAAAATAAAAATTCATAACATATCATAAATTCAAAGACAGAAACATAGTTCAGAAACTGAAAACAAAAATTCAGAACATAACATATACTAAAAAAGTTCAAAAAAATTACTGGGAAAGGAAATCATCTGAGTAACACTGAAGGGAAACCCTAAACCACAAAAATTCAGGTTGTACCTCCTCAAGAACATGTTGTTATTGTTAGGATACATCGTCAATGACTTCAAAGAAAAACATTGTTTTGTTTCAACCTTGACTGTATAGTGTCAATTTGGCAGTAAGTGATTCACTCCAGTTTGACTAACAATGAAATAAAATCTGTTACCATTGTCTGTAGTGATACACTGCATTGTCCTTAATGATACACTGTATAACCCAACTATTTAGCAATTGAAATCAATTTTCATTTACAATATTACCAAATTCAGTGTTTGAAATCCTTTGTACCTTGGGTCTTTTTTCTTTCACGATTCACAACCGTAAACTATAATCAGTGACCATTTATGTTTGGTATACTGGAACCAGAACGGGCCGTTCTGAAACCAGAACGACCCATTCTGGTTGCACTCTTAGTATGTTAATTTTGCACCTGGAACGGGCCGTTCCGGATGCAAAATTAACACACCAAGAGTGCATCCAGAACGGCCCGTTCTGGTTCCAGGTTTTTTCAGAAATTTTTGCGTCCACGTACGCATCTACGTGGCATCCATGTGGATGCCACGTGGCCAACAGTTAACTCCGTTTAAATCATTTGGACGGAAGTCCCAAATTACAATAATTTAAGTTATTGGGGACCAAATTGAGACCAAAAATTAAAGTGAGACTAAATTGAAACAAAAAAATGTTATCAAGGACCAAAAGAGGTTTTTAACCAATATTTTATTTTCGTTAATGGGATTTTGTCCCTAATATGGTGCATGCTAGGCTAAAGTTCTCGTGTCTAAGTCCCCTAGGGTATTTATGGGTGGTAACCCAAGCTCGTCCCTCGGTCCCCACAGTATTCCATCTCGGTATTTTATCTCGATATTTCATCTCAGCATTTCATCTCGGTCAAATGTCCGTCGGCAAACCATATCGGCATAATCCCAAGACGGTACAGTTGCCCCACAACCTTGAGCCTGTAACGCGAGAAGGCTCTTTAGTGCAAATTATCTCGGTATAAGTCTATCGGCAAATCATATCGGCATAATTCCGGGATGGTATAGTTGCCCCACAGCCTTGAGCCTGTAAGGCGAGAAGGCTCGTTAGTGCAAACCATCTTGGTATAAGTCTATCGGCAAACCATATCGACATAATCCCAGGACAGTACAGTTGTCCCACAACCTCGAACCTGTAAGCCGAGAAGGCTCTTTAGTGCAAACCATCTCAGTATAAGTCCATCGACAAACCATATCGGCATAATCTCGGGACGGTACAGTAACATTTAAAATGGTATGAGAATTTTGTCAATTTAATTTAATAGTTATCTTATTTTTCTATTAATTATGTCTAATACTATATATATTTTATTCTTGCAGAGAATTTCTCATACTATATATGTCCACATATGCCAATTAAATAGAGCTTCATTCTCTTGGTTTCTGAAAGAATAAAATAAAATGCAATCGAGATTTGTGACCACCAAACTGTAAGCGAAACATGGTGGAAGGTACTTCCATTGCAGATGGAGTTGCCGTGACTGTTTACTTGGTTACCTTTTTTTAACCTTCAAAATTCAAATGATATATTGCAGTAAATAAGATGATTATTTACTGGGTTTGGTAAACTGAACAGCAAGTGTATCAGTCGCCGTACTTTATTCTCTGGGCCCATAAAATATAATTCATTACACTGTGGAACGCACATATTCATATGGTTTTCATTTTTTTTATTTTCTTCAAAGAAGAAGCACCTGGGAATAACAATGATAATAATAATAAATAAAAAAAACTATACCATCTTGAACGCGACTCATAACAAACAAACATCATTGTTGCTCAGAAATCCGCCAGACCAAAGGCTTAATTAGTAGAGTGCTTCATTAAACGTGTGTGATTACTGACTGAAATTATCTAAAATTAATTAGCAAAAGTGATATGACTTATGAATCAAATGATTGCTAGGAGTTTAAAAAAAAAAGTTATAGTGGCCCGTTTCTTAATTATGTTCTCAATTCTCACGCCAATCGAGCACAACAAGAGGGACAGTGAATATCTGTATGATTCATGCACTTTTAATTTTTGTGTGATGATTCCAGGAATGTCTCTCTCTGATGGATCTTTGTTCATACTTCATGTTACATTTTTTAATTTGTCTACCATCCACATAAACTAAAGTATTCTCCCTAGGTTTAACTCCTATGTTACACAGTAGCTAGTAGTCACATGATTACATGTGATAATGTTTTTGGATCTTGCAGACCATTGTGATTTCAATCCACCCTTTGAAACTTGTGTCCGACCATTATTTTGGAGACTTGAGATAATGCCATTAAAGTTGGTGCAGCACGTGCTTAAGAAGATCAAAATTAATTAACTAGGGTATTCCTATAGTAAGCAGTGACATAGGAGAGGTTGGATTATGTTGATAAGAGTGGAAAATTGAGCTGAAAATGGTGGTGATTATAATTTGTCCTTGTTATTATTTGATGTCTAACAGCTTTAATAAATTAAATTTGTGAGTTTCCCTGATTGTGAATCACAAGGGGAACGTTTGTTTGTCCGGATTGTCCAAATGTGAAGCGAGGGTTTCAGGACCACCAAATGCAGAGTCCTCAGTTTCACATATCTGGTGTCTGTCCCTCGATCACAGATTAGATCCACTGGAGTATACAACTTTTTCCATTGAGTGTGGGCTGTTACATAATGCTTCATCATGAAATAACCAGTGGTCCCATTTCCATATACACTCTAACTCACTCTTTGTTCTTTGTGTGCTCGTTAACACATGATGTCACTCAATGTAAATTTGTTAAACCAAGTATTAATTACCTTTTCATTAAAGTTTATGTATTCTTGTTTCTGGATCTTGGATGCAAATCCAAACCATTGACTTTGGCTGAACTTTGTAAAATCTGTTTTCAATTGAATTAATTTTGTAAAATCGGTCCCACTTTCGTAATGTTTGTATGTTTATAAACTAAGAAGTAAACAAGTTTGTTGTAAAATTTAGTATAATTTTTTTTTATCACTTTTACGGTGTGTTTCTTTATGCTTGTAAAACGAAGTGTCACTTTGAAGCTACACAAAGTAACTTCTGCATCTATTAGACATTTGACATAAATATTGAGTCTAAATGTGTGTAAAGAATGCAAAACTAAACATCGGCTTAGTTAAACCGAGATTTAGAGATAAAAATTAGTTTTACTTAACAATAATCAAATGTTTGTATCTTTGTAAAAATCACGTTTAATGGGAGGCAAGATCAATTCTGATATTTGAGACTCCAAAACCGAAGACAAGGGCATCAACATTGTTCTTTACCAAATCCCAACTGCTATTGATTGTCAATTTTTTGAAACGATGATATA